TCAGGTACATTAGAGAAGTCAAGCTTGGAGGCAGGAAAATCAAGTTTTACTAATCACCAGCTTACCCACTTCAAATTAAGTCTCCAGTATAGTAAAAGGGATGCCACATGCCCCTGCTCCCTAAGAGTTTATGCCAGCATGTTTACCTTATCTTCCTGAAGTTACTCCACTTACTTAAAAAAAAGTTAAATTCCCCAATGATTCAAAATGAAATCATTTTCACTTCCATGAAGAAGTATTTGCCCTTTACTTACTGAGACACTAACGGCACTCGCTCTTCTGCTCTTTCAGAGATACAGCCCCCTCAGTGAATCTTCGTACAATTCTGATAGACCAGGTGGCAGTCTCCCTCACTGGAACTTTCTCCCTCTTTGTTGTGAGCATTCAGAGCTTTCAAAAGGCTATGTTGACCAAGGACTGACTGCCAGTCTTGTTATGACTGGTCCCAGAATGGAGTTCTATCTTCAGTTAATCTTCAAAAGACTATCTCACTTGGATAGCTTACTTACCCTGCTTCTAAGAACTTCCATATCCATTTTAAATCCTTAGAATTTCAGTCTTGTTATGGGAGGATGCCAGAATTTCAAGTATCCTTCTAATAATTAAGTGACCTCTACTGCCAGCACACCAAAAATGGATGGTTCTTCAAATTCTGACTTTCAGTATTTTCCATTAAATAAATCCACATGAATTACCTAATACGTGATCAGCACTGTGATAACCTCTGTAAAGTTGCACTGTTGTTAAATTTTAAAGTTAAGAAACATCTATGGGGCACCTGGGTGGCTTAGTCGGTTAAGCGTCCGACTTCCGCTTAGGTCATGATCTCGCGGTTCGTGGGTTCGAGCCCCGCGTCGGGCTCTGTGCTGACTGCCAGCTCAGAGCCTGGAGCCTGTTTCAGTCTGTGACTCCCTCCTCTCTCCCTCCCCTGCTCACGCTCTCTCTCTCCTAGAAATAAATTAAAAAAAAAAAAAAAAACATTGTAAAAAAAAAAAAAGTTAAGAAACATCTTTAACCTTGGGCGCCTGGGTGGCTCAGTTGGTTGGGAGTCCGACTTTGACTCAGGTCATGATCTCAAAGTTCGTGGGTTCAAGCCCTACATCAGGCTCTGTGCCGACAGCTAGCTCAGAGCCTGGAGCCTGTTTCGGATTCTGTGTCTCCCTCTCTCTGACCCTCCTCTGCTCACGCTCGCTCTCTCTCTCTCAGAAATAAATTTAAAAAGATAAAACATTAAAAAAGATTTAAAAAAAAAAGATAAAAGAAAAATCTTTGACGTAAAGAACTGCCCATACTAGATATCACGCATAAAATGACAACAGTGAGTACAGGGTTGAGTTTGATTAATAATTAAAACAAGTGCTATAGGAGGGGACAGTAAGGGATAATAATGCCCCACTATTACTTAAGAGCAAAACTGAAAAATGAAGAGTGCTTAATTAGATAAAGTGCATTCACATATAATTCTTCTTTTGATTATTACAATTGTGTGGTGAGGTAGGCAAGGGAGGTATTAACAACCCCATTTTACAGATGAGGAAACTGAGACCCAAAGAGGTCAAGGGGGTTGGCCAAGGACATCTTGCAAATAAGTGGGAGAATTCCAGGATTGTAGCCCTAGCGTGGGTCTCCCTGCAGTGTAATTTTGCTGCCACACCACGTTGCCTCCTTGCCGAGTACCCTGGGAGGCAGAAGGGGGAGCATGGAGGGACCGGAAGGGGGAGCTATAGAGGAGATCAGTAGGCAACAAAAAGGATAAAGGGTCTTTAAAGGGAAAGGAAGAAAGAGAGAGATGGGCAAAGAGCATGACCACAGAACTAGAGGCAGAGACTGGGGAGAGAACGACTTACCGAAATCGAATGTGTATTAGAAGGAAGTGGGGAATAGGGTTTGAGGGGAAATTAAATAATTATGGAACATTCAGCAAGTCGATATCAGGAGCTGAGTTTTGGTCTTTCAAACAATGCAGCTATTTTTTGGAGGAGACTGACATGATCAATACAGAGGTTAAGAAAGTTGATATGCTGTTTGTATAGCACAGGGTTAGAGCGGTTCTGGAATCCAGGAGGAGGGGGAGGGCACAAAGGGCCGGCATCGTTGTGAAATGTTGAGGTGGGTATGCTTTACAGAATTCATCACCCACGTTCATTTGCACATCACTGAACAGTGGCAAAGCTAAAAATACTCTGGTTACAAGCAACAGGGCATATAAAAGAGAAGAATGATGGGTGCTTTCAAGTTTATGATGGATTAAGCCACTTTAGGTTGGTTGACTTAAAATTTGTAAAATACACGGTCTTCAGGATTGACAAAGGTAAAATCACCCGCATTTTAATGCAACTTTCTGCATTTCGTCAGCCTGTTATCAAGTTGAAATGGAGGTGGCCCCACAGGGCTGCTGGATTAGGGGGACGTGAGCGGGGTAGGGGCAACTCTGGGTCCCTCACCCACACTTAAATGAGAATAGGTCAGATTTTGTAAAACTGCTTTTATTAGGATAGGTTACAACATTTCATGTGCGTAAAAGGTTCCATAGATTAACACATCTGAAAAACCACTGATCTAGTCTCATCTCATGTCAAAGAGAGGAAGAAGCAGAGACAGGCCCTTGCAGGGCTTTGTTCAAGGTCACAGGGGAAGGGAGGCCACCTGAGGGGCATTTTTGCATAGCAAAGAAACTTCAACAAAATGAAAAGGCAACCTCCCAACGGGCAGCGGGGGAGAAAACATTTACAAACCAATGTCTGCTAAGGGATTAATATCCAAAATATAGAACTCATACAACTCAATAGCAAAACACCATATAATACAATTAAAAAATTGGATCATTGGGAAAATACAAATCAAACTGTAATGAGATATCACCTCACACCTGTCGGAATGGTTGTCATCAAATGACAAGACACAAGTGTTGGTGAGGATGTGAAGAAAAGAGAACCTTGTCTGCTGTTGGTGGGAATGTAAATTGGTTCAGCCAGTATGGAAAACAGTATGGAGGTTCCTCAAAAAATTAAATGGAACTCCCATATGATCCAGCAATCCTCCTTTTAGGAATATATTCAAAAGAAATGAAATCATTATTTCAAAGAGATCTCTATTCCCATGTTCACTGCAGCATTATCCACCACAGCCAAGATATGGAAACACCCAAAGTGCCCCTCAATAGATGAATGAATTTTTAACACGTATGGTAATCATTTTTTGGGCATATACATATGGAATGTTATTCATCCATAAAAAAGGAACCCCTGCTATTTGTGACAACATGAATGAAAGAGGAGGTATATTATGCTTAGTGAAATAAGCCAGAAATAGACAAATCCTGTATGCCATCACTTACATGTAAAATCTAAAAAGTCAAAACCCTAGGAGAAGAGATTAGGATATGATTGCCAGGGGGTGGGGCATAGAGGAAATGGGGCACCTACTTCCAATTCTAAGATACGTTTTGGCACTGTGATGTAGAGCATGGTGACCACAGTTGATAATGCTGTATCATATCACATGCTTAAAATTTGCTGACTAAATTTTAAGTGTTTTTGCCAAAGAAGGGGGGAGGGGGTGCAACTCTGTGACGTCAAGATGGAGGTGTTAACTGGCTGGGTTGTGGTAATCATTTCACAATGCATAATGTATCAGATCATCAAGTTGTACACCTTCACACAATTTTGTCAATTTTATAGATCATTACACTTGTTGATTTTACGTTAGTAAAGTTGGGGGTGAGGGAGAAGAACTGGGGCAACTGAGAACTCAGAAAACAAAATCATTTCATGGCCTTTAACACCCAGGCTTCCCTCCAGGCCCGTTCATGCGCCTGCGGCAGAGTTTGTCCCTGACGCCCTAAGTGGGCCAGCCCACACAGCCAAGGGCTGCCATGGGGACACGTGGGGCACATGTGGCCAGTATGAGCCCAAGCAGAAGGAGGGGAAACCGCCAGGGGCTGGTTTCAGGGGGAAGCTTCCCATCAACGAATGAAACTTAAGGTGCTTCTAAGAAGAAAAGGGTCTGCTTAATACTTTTCCCCAAGTCATTCATTTTTCATTATTTGCTTACTTCTCCTTTTCCTTCCCTTTAGTCCCCTTTTGAAGACCATCCAAGGTCAATCCCCCAACCTTATCCTACAACAAAAAACCAACCAATCCACCAGCACCACCCAGAAAAAGCCACCTTAAGAAAAAGAAAATAAAGAAGTGCTGCAGGTTTCAAACGTTCACTGTTACCCAAGAATTATGACCCAGAAGCAGAGAATCATTAAATCCGCTGGTTTCACTTGTACAACAGCACATAACATCGTACCCGTGACTGCTCTGCCCGCTGAATCAGGGAGTTTAGAGGAAAAAGCCCAGCAGAGCACCTAGTAAATCTGTCTCTTTGTATTCTAATCATAAAAAAAAGTATTCCCCTCACTTTCTCACACAGGGCCTAACGTCACCTTAACAGTGTTTATCAACACAGACAAAGTGTCTTCACCAAAGCTAGAACATTTCTCTTCCTTGACAGCGAACACTGATTAAATCTTCCCAGAGAAAAGTTAGGCAGACCAGAATCCACCTTCTGGCCAGGTACAAAGAGACAGACTGCAATTCTGGTGTGTCCTCTCCTTTTCTTCTTGTCAGGAAAAATAAATAAAGGTGATAGAATTTTGTAGAAAAGGTCTCCTGAAGATACAGCTGTCTCCGTTTTAACTTAGGTTCAACTATGTCTTACGAGTCTGGGGAATTATCTAACCTAACTAAAAGGACCCCTCAAGTAACTGCTACTAACTGTAGATTGAGGAAACCCTGGCTGTACACAGAAGGCATACAAACCAGAGGCGCTAGAGGAGCCTTCCCTCGCAGGACCATTTCAGGGAGGATCCCAAGGGGATGGTGACGGTGCTTCCAATGACATTAGTGGGGAAAAGCACTGTGAGGTACGAATGAACAAGCTCCCTGTGAACTGATTAACTCTTCCATATTCAGAATGGTCATTAAAAAAGAAAAGTAACAAATCCAACTCACCTTTCCAGGACTCACCAACACTGCAAACAGAAACACATCCAGTTGGAAATCTGGGGAAGAAAATCATGTCTGTAGTCTATGTGCTGATCTGAGCAATAAAGCCTGTTTTTTTTTTTTTTTTAATCACCCCTGTCAGAAGATCTCCTTAAAATATGTGACACAGTTCTCTGTGTTTTATGAGCATTCAACACGAAAGCTACAGATCTTACAACGCAGTTATTGGCACTGTCAGCTCCCCGAGTGTTTGTTCAGCTGGTGGACCTGGTGAAATATCTCCTGGTGCCTTTGCAAGTCATCTGCATAATTGCAGAGGTTCCTAATCCCAGTCCAAGAGCCATGATTTGTGCCAGGACAAAGTAAGGCTCTCTGCTCCCTGGCCTTGTAACTGGAGGCACAAACCTCCCATTCACTTATGCCTGAACAACGGCACTTAAGCCTAACTGTAGGAAAGAGATGCAGGCCCCCTGGCATGCACTTCTCTCTCTTGCCTGCCACTAGTCGGTGATTCTGGATTCACTGGGCACAGATGGAACTCTTTCCTGACCTCCAACCTTGGGTATTTACCAACTGGCTATCGAAGGAACAGTAAGTAACCTCCTGACTGCTGTATAGTCAGACAAGAATGAAAACAGATAGATGTACACTTTTATTCCAGAGCTGGATAAGAAAAGTAATTTCCATCCCACTGAGCTCTAAAGCGCTGCCTTTCCTCCCATTGGGGAAGGTGTGAAACACGCTTTGTCCAGACTGGCCTGGCCTTTGATGGATTTATTGACCAGACCTACTGGCTGGAGGAAGTGCAGGGAGACACCTTTTGTTGAGAAAGAAGAATGTACACCACCAACAGGCTTCCAGGATCTCATAAAACGGCCGTTTGGCTTAGAAGATCAGGTCTACAATGTACTAGTATCAGGAAGAAAGCGTTAAGGACATTTCTCAAGTTTAAAGGAAAACAAAATTTCAAAAGCTGCCAGTTTCTGTGAAATTGCTGGAGAGGCAGAGTCTAACTCTCACAGACTCTTCTCTGTGAACAGGGTATAGCTCCTGCGTAACTTCATCAGCTATGTTATTTGTCACGGGCTAAAGGACAGGACACACAGAGTGTGTAGGCTCCTCTGGGAAGGGCATGAGAGGGAAAAATGGTCAGAAACTGAGTTCATTTTGCACGGATCCCTAGATTACAGCGGTGACAAGATGCTGTCTTTCTACCATTTTACAATTCCAATAAAGCTCTGACATTACTACTACATGGCAATAAAGGAAAGAACAAGGAACCGCTGCCTATGTGCTGCATTCTGTATTAAAAGACCATGCTGGAAGCCTAATTGCTTCTCAGCTGGAGAATTTAAGTCTCTAGCCCCCAGTGGAACACAAGTCATTCTCAAGGTGTGGTGTGTACTGGTTTTAACTGGACTCGGGGAACCCTTGTTCAGATCCTGAGTGTAGGTTCTCATCACCACTGGTAGAAACCATTAACCTGAGCCAGGTGCTTAACTCCTTAGAGCCTCCATTTCCTCATCTTTAAATCATGACAGCATAATTTAAATTACAGGGCTGGAGTGAGAAGGAGTGAGAAGGAATGATAAGCAACAGTGAAAATAAAGTGAATTAACTATGAAGTACGTTTCACAATGCCTGGCCCATAGTAAGTGCTCAATAAATGTTAGTTTCCGTCCAGTTTTTGGTGTTTTTTTCTCCCCACTTTTGATTGCAGCAAAGAAATTCTCGGACGAAGGAGACAGAACCAGGTAGTGTAATAAGTTGCCACTCTTTGAGCTTTCTTGCTGCTGGGGCAGCAGATTTAGCTGAACCATGATCAGTCCCATACACAGGCTCTGTGTCCCACCTGCTGAAGTCTCTCATTACGGCTAAGGCACAATAAGGTGCCCAACAAGCGAGAGATTGGTTCAGAGCATTAGCCATCTATCCCAACCCCTTGTGGGCCCCACGGCAAAACTTCTTGCTACTGACTCCCTAAACGTCCCCCCTCTAAGCCAAAAAGCAAAGCATGAGCTGTTTCACTGCCGTCGGACATTTAACATTCATTCCCTATATAAAAAGCAATGCTGACTCCCCAAAAAACAAGGTGAAGAAGAATAAGAGACAGGAGGAAATGGCCAGATGGAAGAACAGCTAAGGTGCCCAATTACAACAAACATCGCTTTCCTGCCAGGATACCAACAACAGGACCCCAGCCAGCTTTGCAAGTTGCGATCTCAGCCAGTTGGCTACATAGTTGATGGAAGGAGAGGCCCAACAGTAGAAAAACAAAAGCTCTTTCCCACCCAATGGGGAGCGGTCAGAAATGCATGGGAAGGAAACCACATTGTGGTGTCTCGGATTTATTCTGTCTCCACAGCACGGAATGCTCATCCACCGCTCACATGCTTGGGGCCTGTTTCTCTCACTACTGGTGCTCCCAATTCCACCTACAGTCTAAAAACCAGGCTGTACATCTGCTGCCTCAACCCTCTACATGTAAGAACTGAAACACTATTTTTCATGCTCCAGAAGAATGCAAACACAGCTCAACTGGTCCACTTTGAATCTTCCCAAACAATTCAACTTAGGATGAAAACCAAGGAAACATTTCAAAGTGAAGACTGTGGATGTCTTAGACATGGGGATAGGGGGTGTGTGTAGAGGGGAAGGTCTCTGTTTAGTAGAGTTACTGTTGGTTTTAAGGACAGGTGCTACCCTAATTTTAAAGTCTGTCAGATATGCATCCTATAGGACTGCAGGTGACATCCTTTAGGGTTGTAATATCACTGCCTTCTCTAGAATCTACAGGTTGCCGATCATGCTTGGATGCGGGTGAATATCAGGCAAGTCCCATCAATTGCCTCTAGTCACCTGCTTCGACTAAATGCCTCTCCAAAGCCAAAAATCAGACATAGTTTGGGAGTCTGTGAGTCAAATAATTAAGATAAGGGCCAAAAAAAAAATATCAATAGTTAACATGACCAAGCACAAGTCACAGGCCTGGCAGTCAGGAAGTTATGGTGACAGGCAGAGGGGCCTAGGCACACCAAGGTCCGGAATCTAGGCACCAGCCACTTAACAATGGAGGCTTTATTCCTTTCTTTGAATGCTTTTCCATTCTTCCTAAAACTAATCATCAACTCCTTGAAGGATCCTTGAGGAATCCTTGGAGGTAAGGACCCTGTAGTCCCTTTCAATTCTCTGGTCTTTGCTGGAGCTGATGGGGGGAGGGACCCGAGGGGCAGGAGGCCGAGATCTCAGACCACTCAGTTGCACGCTCCACTCAACACCAGCACATGCTGCATCAACTCAGACTTGACACTGCTCCCCGAGAGGAGCTTTGCCCCTTAGGAATCCACAAGTGGTCGAGTAGCTTTTGTGACACACGATGACTGGTCTGAACACCCTGCTGTGGACACCTTAATGTAAGGAGTCATACGGAAAATGAGGCAGAAATAAGGAAAAGGGGAAAGAGTAGAAAAACTGAGCCTGCCAGCTATAAAGCAGGGAGCTGGGGTGCAGACCTGCAATTCAGAATGGAGAGGGGCAATCACAGTGCTGTGGGCTCTCACACAGATCATTGGTTTTTATTGGAGATGTGGGAAAGAAACCACAGAGCAAATTTCAGCCATAGAGAATTTTCTTCTTAAACCAGTACACACACTACTTCACCACCAATGGCTCCACAGTCCTTATACCTCTAAATGGTGGAGAATAGCTTTGAAAAAATGTTTGTTTGTTTGTTTTGTTAATTGAAAACTTTTCCCTGCAATCCACATGGTCTTTCTTGAGTCCCCCTTTTCCCATTTCCTGTCCCCTCCCACCCCCACCACACACAACGACAGGCTTGAGGATATAGAATCTACTCTCCCCTCCCCTCAGAAAATTACACAGGTGTTGGGGGGAGAAGTCTTCACATAAGAAATGAGAAAAACAGAATTCTTTTCCTTGAGTTATAAATACTGAAAGGTACGGGGAATTTTATAGACCCAGAAAGTGATGAAATGAAGAGAAAGACATCAAGCCTACCCAAAAGGTGATAAAATATTTCATTTGTTTTTTGGTTGTGAAAAAGAAAATAAATCATTAAGATGACTGTCAGAATGCCTCAAGGAGAAGGGCATCGAGTAGAACTTGGCTATAAATGTTGGAGAGTGTAATAAAAGAGTTGGGTTTGTTTCCTTAGCATTTGTCTGGGTTGAGCCTTCCTGTTTCAACACAGGAATCAGGGTCAATGGTAAAAGTCCATCTGCCGTGGGGCACACATTATTGCCTTTCCATGCTGGCCCCGTCCAACAATCCCAGAGCAGCTGCTCCCGCCTATACCCTGGTTCCCACTGAGCACCGGCACACCAGAACATGCTGTCAAATGCCAGGGTGTGAGAATCACAGTTGGCTTTATTTTCATGATTCCTGATTACTTCATTTATACCTGCTTATAAAACAGGGTTGGGACAGGGCTGGGTGCTGGGAATTTCGGATGAGGAAGGCAAGGTTCCTGCCCCAAGCAGCTCAGTCTAAAGGACTTTGGGTTAATTCTGATATTGTTTAATGATGTATTTCAAGTGCCTGAAAGACAGTGAAAGGTAACAGAAGAGCTGTTATTAAAGCAACTGTTGATTTTATTTAAACCTGGGAAGGATTACCTATGAATTTGTAAAAGAGGTAGGATTTTCACCTAACCCACAAACTTGGATTCAGCATTTTGCCTTGAATATGTTCTTCTTCTTTTCTAGATGTCAAGCCGTCCTATAAACATGGGATGGCTCAACTAAGTCTTAAAAGTTAAGACTCTAAGTTTCTCTGGATCTGTAATGAATATAAATATTATGAACTCAGAACAGGGACACCTGGGTGGCTCAGCTCAGTCAGTTGGGTGTCCGACTTCAGCTCAGGTCATCATCTCATGGTTCATAAGTTTGAGCCTTTCATCAGGCTCACTGCTGTTAGCACAGAGCCAGCTTCAGATCCTCTGTCCCCCTCTCTCTCTGTCCCTCCCTCACACTCTCTCAAAAGTAAATAAAACATTAAAAAAGAAAGACAAACTCAGAAATAAACTGAACTTTGG